TGCTGACCGCCTCCCGCGGGATGGGAGGCACTGGGGTGGGCTGGGAGGGATCCGTCCCTGGTGGAAATCACAGCAGCTCGCTGGCTTCAGTCGGGGCTGCCCAACCCCGTCCCTACGATACCCGAGATCTGGTTTTGGTGGTTAAGGGACTTGTGAGGTGAGCAGATGTAAGACAGCTGTTGTTTCTACTGAAGCACCTGATCTTGCAAGCCCTGTATAGAAATGCCCTGGCAGAAGTCATCTGAACAGCCTGCGTTTCACTTCTGAAGCTTTTGGTTGGGATGTGACAGGAGATTAATCCTTATCCGGTTGACGGAGGAGCGGTTCAGGGATGGATTCGTGGGTCAGGGAGTTATCATTCCTTGTTTTGCCACAGTGTGCTCCTGGGGCGAGCTGGCTGATGATGCTTTTACCCCTGCATTTCAGTGCCCTGCAGAGGGGAGGGGGGTTCCTGCGAAAATCCCTCCTGGGAGTCGAAGCGTGGCAGTGTGGCTCTGCCTTGTGAGCTCATTAAGTGAATAAATCCCGGGGATGTTCAGTTCAGATGGGGCTCCTACAGGAGAATTTATAAAGTCATTAAAAACATTTTAATGGAAAGTACTAACCATCTATAACACAGCATCTGTTGTCGTGTCTTTGGAAAAACACATCTAAATTAAGAGGATGGGAGACAGTGAGACAGACTGGTGGGTTTTCTGCTGAAGCAACCAGCTGGCCGGGGCTGTGAGGGAATATTGGTGGAAACTCCTTCCCATCTGTAGTATCTGGCCAGGCCCTGGCTCCCCAAACTGGTCTAGGAGCACTGGGCAGAGCTGGCTTTGGCAGACATCAGTTGAGGGAGGGAAGACAGGAGCAGCTCTGCGGTGTTTCTGTCTCATCCCTCAGTGGATGTGAAGACATGAGAGAGGGTTCACAGGAAAAGCATGGAGGAACATCTGCGACAAGCTTTGGCATCCCTGTGCTTACACAGCCCAGCCTGGAGAGGAAGGAACATCCTCTGCTATTAAAGTGGGGTGAAATGGATAGGACAGTGAAGGGAAATAAGCTCGAGCTGGTCCCACATGGCACCAGCAGCCTCACTTTCCCTATGGGTGACAGCAACAACTGGCTCCTGGTTCATTTTCACTGGGGTGTGTCAGCCCTGATGGATGATGGTGGTCAGTAGCTTTGATGTGAGAATGAATGTCAGCAGGGAAGGGGTTGGACAAAACAGTGATGGGCTTCTGGTATGGTGTGGTTCTCTGGTCCTCTTCTTCTGACCTTGTCCTATGGTACAATCTGTAGGGCTGCTGCAGGAGGATTTGTAAAGTCATTAAAAACATTTTAATTGAAAACACTAACCATCTATACTGCAGCATCTGCTGTCGTGTGTCTGGAAAAGCCCATCTCCGTTCCGAGACCCAGGGGCAGCCAGGCAGGCTGGTGGGCTTTCTGCTGCAGCAGCCAGCTGGCCAGCAACCACTGCGGCCGAGAGCCATGCTTCACTCTGCTGCTGCCTGAGCAGGTTTTTTTGCAGCTCAACGTCGTCCTCCTTGGAGTGGCCGCAGGGCATCCCCCATCCACCCGGCTCCCGAGTCAGAAGCGGGGAACGCAGGAGCCCCTGCCCTGGCGAGGTGTGCTGGGACTGCCGTGGCAGATCTGTTGCGGACAGCATTTCTGCTCTTTGCCTTTCAGCCTGGTCTGGAGGCCACCGAGTGCCTCCAAGGTCTCTCTCGGATTCTGCTCGAGCACGGCAAATGGCCAGACTGGTCTTTACGGCCGCATGTCCGATCCAAGGGGCAAACAGGAGCCCGAGTCTCAGGGCAGCACAGTTTGTGCTTTTGAGTTGCTGCTCTTCTCCCTCTTTGAGAGCTGGGGAGGGAGTGAGCAGCTGTGGGGGGCTCTGCAGAGGGGGGACCCGCACCCCCTTGCTGAGCCAAGCCTTGGACCCTCGGGTCCTGGTTTTTGGCAAGGTGAAGCAGCCTCTTGGAAGCCAACCAGGCTGGTGGGTCCAGCAGAGCATCTGCTTGCCCAGGCTAGAGAATTTCTCCTTATGGCCTCGGCTAGTCGGCATGCTTTGTGTCATGGGGGCAGCCGTGTCTTCGTCTATAACACTGGTTGTAGTTACTTTGATCCATTCCCTTTTGCAAAGCACAAGAGCAAAGTAGCGCGGAGGGTTTCTCATGTTGGCCTGACACCGTTCCCCTGCTGGCGCCGGGGCTGCGAGGGCCTTGGCTCGGCCTTTGAAAAAATTGTATTTGTTTAAAAAAAACCCAAAAAAAAAAAAAGGGAAAAAAAAAAAAAAAACAACACCCTCGGTTTGATGTGAAGAAGGGATTTGTTTCTGTTCTGGTTGTTAGGGCATTGGAGAGAGGGGCTCGGGCTGAGGAGTGGAGCAGGGCAGCAGGGTGAGGGCAGCTCTCGTGGCCTTACACATCTGCCTTTCCCTTGGGAGCAGGAGGCAGCTCAGGGGATGCCTCTGACAGAGCTGCTGCTGCTTCCATAATTGCTGGTGGCCGCTGCTCAGCTCCACAGAAACCTCGTCCCTGTGGACAGGCGGCCTTGAGTTCTGCCGTCCGGAGGCCGAGGTACTGCTCTCTTTTTCGAGGTCTAGGCTGTCCCAGGGACCAGGCTCCTCGTTCTCGAGGACCTTCTCTTCTCTTCTGTGCTTTGGCTCTGTCTGAGGGACCCTCTTGGCCAGGAGCAGCTCTGCCCAACCGCCTCGGAGAGGCATCCCTGCAGAGACACGTTTGGGGGAGTTACCACCAGGTCACCCAAATGCTGCTTTTCGGTGTGGGGCACCCCACTTGTAGTGAGGGGAAGGGTCCAGGCACCAGCACCCCAAGAGCTGGAGTGAGGAGGCTGAGCTGGTCAAGCCTGGTGCTTGAAGGAGAGGTGGACTTCAGCCCCTCAGCGATCCTCCTCCCTCCCTTTGGCCCTGCTGCTTCGCTCGCTGGTCTGCTCTAACTCGCAAACCCAGCAAAAAGTGAGCTGTTATTTTTGGTAGAAGGGTTAGGACTTAATTTTCCTGCTGGATCAGTGCTCAGTCAGATCCCTGGGGGTCCAGCAGGTGTCCAGCCGGCAGCAGAGGCAGGTAGAGAGGAGGGGGAAAGGAGAGCCCTGTTCTGGCCACTCTCTCCCTCAAACCCTGTGTGGGGCCAAGGGCAAGGTGGGTGACGACCCTGGTGCCGAGGGCCATGTGCCATCGGTGCCGAGAGGCTCGTGTGACTTCTGCCTTTGGTCAGTCTCCTCACTGGTCATTGGTTTTGTTGGTCCATTTTGTTCCAGGCTGCGGCGGCCGACATGGATTTTTTTTTTTTCTGCTGGCTCTGCTGCTGTCTCTGAGCAGCTTTGCAGACCTGGAAAAACAGAGGGTGGACTCTGGGTTGGAAATCTGTATCCTTCTCAGCAGCCTGCCCCTCGCGTCCCATGTACGTGCTCGTGCCTGCTGGGGCTGGAGGGAGCTCACGCGCAGGGAAAAGGTCAGACCATGGAAGGGGGCACAGGGGGGTGGAAGAGAGAGGACCCAGAACTGCTGGGCTGTTGCCTCTTTGCTCTTCTACAGAAGAGCTTTAGCCGAGCTCCTGGGTGTGCTAAGTAAGTACCTGGCTCGGTGCAGGAGCGGAGGTGGGTTTTCTGGCGGTGCCTGGCGTTCTCCCAGGCACGCTGCTTTTCCTTTCTGCTCCACCACGCTGGGCACCGAGAACGTCTCCTGGTCCGCTCTCAGGAGCGGTGTGGTCAGCCGGGCTGCAAGAGCACCTCTGCGGGTCGCAGTGCTTCAGGGTCACTGGGTGAGATGACGGGAGAGGACTGCTGGGCTTGCAGCACTCAGTCTCCTCTGTGCCGCGGGCATTTATCTCCCACAAGGAGGTGGGTTAATGCGAGCCCTTCCTTGCACACGGCAGCATCCCCTGATGAACAGGCAAATTATGAAAAGATATTTAATATGTGTGCTCCTGGAGACACATATGGGGAAGGTGGGAGTTCACGCTCATTCTCCAGCCTGTCAGCCAGAGCAGGGGCTGGCAAGTAGAAAGCTCTCCAGCCCCCAGCGTTGTTTAAGCGCCCTGAGGGGTTTAGGAGCAAAGGAGCTCACTGGAAACCCTCATCTCATCCTGGCTCAGGCACAGACCTCCAGCCCTCAGGCACCCCGTGGAGAACTGGGGGGGCTGGGATGGTGCTGGGTGCCTGGCGGAGGGGGAGAGCAGGTGGGAATGAGTTGGCAGCACCCTTGACGGTGGTGCAGATAAGAAGTTGTTTGAGGTGAAGCGCAAGGACCAGATGAACGCGCTGAAGAACCTGATCGAGCTCAATGACGTCAACCAGCAGTACAAAATCATCGACATCATGCTGAAGGGACTCTTCAAAGTGAGTCACAACATGGGCCACCTTCTGGGCTCGGTGCGCTGTGGGGCCACGGAGGGTGGGCAGGAGAAGCAGAGCGGGCCGGGGGGCTCCACAGGATCAAAGAGAGAGCTAGGTGAGCAGGTGGGATTTAAGACCTGAAGGGAGGATGCTGTGGGGCTTCAAAGCGGGGTGGCTGGGGCAGCACTCCTGGGGTAGAGGGAAGGTCTGGCAGGATGAGGCAGTAACTGAGGGCTCTGGCAGGTGCTGGAGGACTCCCGGGCTGTGCTCATCGCTGCCGACGTGCCTCCTGATGGGCCTTTCCCTCAGGACGAGAAAATAAAGGATGGTAGGTCTGCTCCAGTCCTTACCCCCCTTCCCTTTTCCAGTGCTCTGGTGCACCGCTGACGTTCCTCCTGGGACTGGCACTGGGGTAGGTGCAAAACCCTCATGTACCCAGGCCAGACCTGGGATGGTCCCTGTCTGTCGGGGACCCTATTGCTGCCTCTCTGACCAGTTTGTACTAGGGAGCCTACCCATTTGCCCCCAGCCTCCCAGCAGGGACGTAGGCACCAGTGGGATGGGACATGTGTACCAGTGTGCCAATGGGGCGGGTGGCTGTCCCCACAGCGTACTCCCACGTGGTGGAGAACACTGCCTTCTTCGGGGACGTTGTCCTGCGCTTCCCCAAGATCGTGCACCACTACTTCGACCGCAACTCCAACTGGAACAGCCTCATCCGCTGGGGCATCAGCTTCTGCAACCTGACGGGCGTGTTCGAGCAGGGACCCCACTCCCAGGTCCTGGGGCTGGTACGGCTCCCAGTCCCCCACCGCTGCATCCCCTCTCCACTGCCGGGGCTGGTTTTGTGAGGTTTTGGGGGTAAAAGGAGGGCAGGGGGACTGTTGAGGGTTGTCGTTGGGCTGAGGGATGGGGAAAGAGCGTGGAGGGGGTTAGTGGGGAGGAGGGGACCCTGGTCACAGGTGGGTGTGGGGTGGGAGGTGCTGCTCCCCGACGTGGTCTCCGCTTTGCTCCACAGATGGCTCAGGAGCTGGGAATCAGCGAGAAATCACCTGATTACCGCAATCCCTTTAAAACAGACCACTCTGAGGTAAGATGGCGACGCTACCACCTCGCCCCATGGGCTTCCCCATCCCAGTTGCAGCTCCAGGCAGCCGGCTGGGGAAGGGAATGGGTGGCTCGGTGGGGAATGGCCAAACCCCCCAGCACAGAGTAAGCTGGACTGAAACGTGTGCATCAAATTCCCCAGCTGGGCTGGGGTTGGTTTTGGGTGCCCGGTGCCACCTCCTCCCCTCCTGTGGCCACCTGCCCCATGGGAACGTCAGGACCCCATTCATGTTCCACATCCAACCTTGAGCTCCCTGGGGGGTTTGCACAGTGGCTCCAGTGGGTTTGGGGGGGGGAAGTTGTGCCTCTGGGAGGCTGTGGGGGCTCCCCCGGGCTGACCCCCCCCCACTATCACCCTGCAGTTTTTCCCCAGTGCCGACACCTTCCAGAAGGCGCTGCGGGAAGAGGAAAAGCGAAGGAAGAAGGAGGAAAAGCGGAAGGAGATCCGCAAGGGCCCGCGCATCTCCCGCTCGCAATCGGAGCTGTAGCGTGCGGGGGCTTGCACCTCGCGGCAGGGGCGACGCCACCAGGATGCGGAGCGGCTTGCTCCCTCTCGGCGGCCTGGGGCCGGTGCCCGGCGGTCCCTTTTCCATTTGTGCCGTGGGTTTTGTTTTGTTGCCTTTCCCTTTTGTTCAGTGGGGACCGGGTGGCAGTGCCGGGGAGTTGCCCCAACGGGGCTGGGGGGAGCTGAAGTGGGGCACCCCATCCCCAGAGCCAAAGCACAGACAGGAAGGCAGTGGGGCCGCCTTCTGGGCTGGTCAGGGCACAGCCACCCATGGTGGGGTAGGGCGAGGGGGACACGCTGTGGCTCAGCCCCACGGGAGCCCTCCCCTCCGCAGCACAGGGTGCCCCATGCTGAACGTGCCTCCTCTGTTGTGGGTGGGCTGGGGAGCTCATCATGCCAAACAGCCTCATGAGCAATGCTGCTTCTCTCAGTTTTGGGGTTTTTTTGTTTGTTGTTGTTGTTGGGTTTTTTTTTATGTTAAGCTGGTGATCCCGTTGGCACCCCTCACCTGGTTATACCTTGTCTCTGCCCAGCTGCTACCTCTGCCGCATCAGCCCTCCTCTCTTTCCAGTGGCTGTTTTACCAAGCAACATACATTTCATCGGACAGCCGTGGTTGAAAAGGCAACAGCATCCTGCTCTCCTGGGTGCCTGCTGCAGGGTGGGAGGGATTTTAGCTCTTGCCCCTCTTTGCAGCCGATGGGTGCCCGTAGTGCAAGCACTGCTGATGCTGGAGGTGCCGGGGAACCAGCCCTGAACCCCTCTGAGCCTGTCCTGCACCCCACACCGTCCTGCACCCCCTGGTGTGGGGCTGATCTTCTCTAATTTAGTCCCCCAAGCCCTCTCCTCAGGGGGCCATCCAGCTACAGGCTGCGACCCTCTGTGGGGCGTCTGGGCTGCGGCAGGAGCAGAGGTGAGGGGGTGGTCCCCAGACCTGGCACAGCAGCCTTTTCTCATGGTTGCTGATGAACTCATGCCGCAGGAGGCACTTGCAGAGGGACCGTCCCTGAGAAGCGGGTGCTCCGTGCCGGGCTGGGGGCACCGCGGCCTTCGGGAAAGGGAAAATGTCCTGAATTTTTAACTGCAAACCCAGGTCTGTCCGACGGGGGGTGGCAATGGGCGCGTTTTGATTTTCTGGAATAAAATTGACTTTATTTTAATTTTTTTTTTTTTTTTTTTTTTTTTTTTTTTT